AGTCCTGCTGGGATCTGCATGTCAGGCCGTTAGCTGAGTGTGTGGCCTGTTCTCCCAGATCCCTTTTGGTTCCTTGATGTGCCCATCTCTGTTCTTGCTACTTACTTTTTATCTACTTAGTGTTTTAGTAAGTCCGGGGTTCGATAGGCTGGGAAGTTTCTTATGTTGTTCTGTAGGGTGCTTTTATGTCTTGAAAATTTTGCAGGCATGGTTACATTTTCCCATGCATATGTAACAGTAATAAAATTCAACATGATAAAATGGAACTTTCTGTCTTCTAACATTTTACTTTTTTCTTAGAAATCTAATTTGTAAGTCTCCTTTTTTAAGCACTAATATGTAGTTGACCTTTAATGGTACATGTCCAAAGGTTTGAAAGATGCAAACCTTGTTTCACTCTGGATTTAAATTAAATGATTTATGTTTCATTCCATGAAGTCAACCCCATTTCCAAAAATCTAAAGGTATTGGTCCAGTCCAGCTGTCTGTGCTGCCCTTTGTCCTCATTAGCCTGGGTAATTGAAGTGCAGACTTTTTTCCTGCAGACTTTTTTTCCTTTGGTCATATTTGGGGATCTATGCCAAAATGAGGAGATTGGGACCAGCTGATGGTGTAATGGTTACGTTGCTGGGCTCCCACATAGTTGACCACGGTTCAAGTCCTGGACCTAGTGGCTTAAAACTCATGCTGGGCGCATGTGCGTGCATGCCCAAGATCTCAAGAGGAGAATGGAGGAGAGGGGATTGTGGTGTGGCCATCTCCTCTGGGGGGCGATTTCTTGCTTTCTGTCTCTCCAGTGAGCATATGCACCCTATAGCAAAAATGTGTCTTAAGATAAAATGAGGAGACTGCGTGAACCCACAAGTGGTCGATCACCCGCTCTGCTTTTGGAGGTTTCAGGACTGCTAGTCCACATGTAGTTGATGAAGTGCAGCAAGGGATCAGGGTTGGGAGTGGAGCGACTGTGTGGAGGGTCATCTGGTCTGTGCTGCTCTTGCCCCTTGATTGGCTGTTCTTGGCACTCTATCCACTGGAGCTCCGGCAGAGATGAGAATGTTGCCGGTGAGATGCAGGATGTTGCCCTTCCCTCGTGACCTTGCAGTTATCATGGCACTAACTTGAAATGCTCCCTCAAATTACACTCATACTCATGCATGAACATCCGTGGAGGCTGCCACCCTCTCCTTCGTGTCCTCGAGTTACTGCGTTTCTAGCTGTTTAACCATCACTGATCAGTCCATCCTCAGTGCAGTTAGTATTGCTGGCATACTGGGAGAGTCCTGGGCAGATGGCCAGCTCTGTGCTTGCGGCCTCACGAAGTCGTTGGCAATGAGGGATCTGAGCGTACATCATCACAACTTCGATTTGGATGCGTTCTTCTGGGGAACAGGAGAATCAGTAATACTTTCTCTCTGTTCACCTTTTTTAAAAAAAGAACTTTACTGAAAAATAACTCACACCTCACACAGTTTTCTCTGTTCACTCTTTCAGGACGATGGCATCTCGTGCTAAAGTGATGGCTGATTGGGTGTCAGAGGGTGGGGTGCTGCTGATGGGGTACGAAATGTACAGACTCCTCACTCTGAAGAAATCCTTTGCCACAGGTAGACCGAAGAAAACCAAGAAACGTTCTCACCCAGTCATCATTGATCTGGATGAGGAAGATCGACAGCAGGAGTTTCGGAGAGGTGGGCAGCCATCCTGGAAATACTCTTGGGGATGTTTCAGGGAAAAAGGATTAGTGTCTGCTAATAGCACGCAGTCAGCTGCATTATTGATGTTAATTATCATTATCCAGAATCCTGTCTTCAAGATAGGTGAGACGGCCTCCGTGGCTCTCCAAGGGTGCTGTTTTCTCTGCAGCAGCACAGCTATGCTCAGGTGGGGCCACACGCTGACTCAGGGGAGGCACCCAGTCTGTCTGTCCCTGTCCCCATCAGAGAACAATGAGGACAGTAACTACTGCCTTTACCACTTCCTAGGGATGGATGTTCTTAGAAGGCATTAAGGAACTACTCATAAAGTGTTTAAATCACCAATATGAAGATACAGTAGTAACAATGTTGTTTGCATTTATTAAAAAAAGAACTTATCCCAGTTGCTTTTAGTGAAAACTACTTCTCTCGTAGGTTTAGTTCTACTCTCTCTTCTAAAGGGCCTTTGCTCACTTTGGGAAGAAGGTTTTTTAGGTTTCAAAGGCTGTTTCTTTTTTCGGGGAGGGGGGGGGAAGGTTTTTGCTATAGGGCGCATGCACTCGCCAGAAAGACAGAGAGAGACAGAGAGAAAGCGAGAAATCACCCCCCAGGGAGGATGGCCACGCCACAATCCCTTCTCCTCCATTCTCCTCTTGGGATCTTGGGCACACACGCACACGCGCCCGGCGTGAGTTTAAACCGCTGGGTCCAGGACTTGAACCACGGTCAACTACATAGGAGTCCAGCGACACTGCCATTATGCTAACTGTTGGTCCTGAGGCTGTTTTATTTTATTTTTATTTTTAAAAATAATTATTTAATTTTATTTATTTATTTATTTATTTTAATTTTACCAAAGAGAAACAGAGAAAGAGAGATCAGGAAAGTGAGAAAGCAAGCCACCAGGTCTGGATCTTGAACCATGGTTGACCATGTGGGAGTTCAGCACCTCAACCACAACTCTAACCAGCTGGCCCCTCATTTTACTTTAATTTTTAAAATTTTGCTATAAGCCATATGTGTTTACCAGAGAGAAAGAGAGGGAAAATGAGAAGAGCCCCCCTCCCCCCCCTCACATACAACAAGGGGTATGGCCATGCCAAAATCCGTTCTCCTTTCTTCCCTTGGGATTTTGGGCATGTACGCCTGTACACCCAGTGTATTTTCCAAGCTGCTAAATCTGAGACTCGAACCATGCAGTTGGCCATGTGGGATCCAGCTGCCCAAAACCATACCACTAACTGGGCCCTGTTTCATTTTATAGGTCTCCTCATCTGTGAGATTGTATTTGTTCTAGGTTTGCTTCTGTGGTAGAGCTGAGCGGTGTGTGCCACTTAGCGATGACTGCAGGAGGACCTTGCTCTGTAGATAGCTCCAGCAGCACCCTCAAATGGAGCCTAGATGCTGGCTGTGGTGCGAGGCTGCTGAGGGTCTGTGTTACTCCTGCTGGCTTCATCCAGATGTGTTTTTGGCCCTCAGCTGGCACTCTGAGACTCCTCTCTGCTGCCCAGTGTGTGTGAGCCCTAGGAACACAAGTCAGGAAAGGAGAGGAACAGGGAAAGGGATCTTGATAGCATTCAGCAAGCCAGGTTAGCATCGCAGCAGACACAAAGTAGCTGGAACAACTGGCTCCCTTTCACCATTGGGGGCTGACTCTTGCTTTCCTGCTTCCCTCATTTCTTCTGTCTCCTCCAGGGTGCACCCCTACTTCTCATATTATTGACTATGAGCAGCCCCTCTCACCCTCTGACTCCGGATCCTCTTCCCTCCCTAGAGTTTGAGAAGGCCTTATGCCGCCCTGGCCCCGATGTAGTGATCTGTGACGAGGGACACCGCATCAAAAACTGCCAGGCCAGCACCTCACAGGCACTGAAGAACATTCGCTCTCGCCGCCGGGTGGTGCTGACTGGGTACCCCCTGCAGAACAACCTCATCGAGTACTGGTGCATGGTGGACTTCGTGCGCCCAGATTTCCTCGGCACCCGGCAGGAGTTTAGCAACATGTTTGAGCGCCCTATCCTGAACGGGCAGTGTATCGACAGCACACCTCAGGATGTCCGCCTCATGCGGTACCGGAGCCACGTCCTGCACAGCCTCCTGGAGGGCTTTGTGCAGAGGTAAGCCACCCTGGAGGCCCAGTGGGTTGGTGTGTGAGGCTGTTGTGCAGACGGAGATGCTGTGGTGGGAGGGCCTCGTCCCAGTGGGGCAGTAGTGAAGTTCCCCTGTGTGTATAACTCGCAGATGATGGGTATCTTCTGTTCAGTCCCCCAATAATTTGGCCAGTGAGCGTGTCTCAGAATTTTAAAATTACAGAGACACTTGCCTTTCTTGCTTGGGTGAGGTGGCGGTTCTAGGAGAAAGGCCTTCCCAGCTCCAGCATCTCAATAGATATAGCTATTTAGGCTAGTTTAACGCATTCTCCCTTGTTAAGATGGTATGTGTGTAGAAAGCTCAGAAAGGCAACCCTAAATGGGGATAAGAACTTTGAATTCTCCTGCTCTGTCACCCATCAGTTGTACCCCAGGACAGGTCACTTTGCTTTAGTTTTCATCCTTTAGAGGAGTTTTTTCTCGGTGGGTGCCAAACCACTCTCATTATTGCACAGCTGTGCGGCAGGATGACATCCTCAAGAGGAAGGTGTGGCAGGAGCACACGGTTCTGTTTTTATCTCACACTGACTCCTCCTGGCCACACTGCCTTGCCACTTCTGAGCTCCTTGCCTCCATAGGAGGGGCCACACTGTGCTCAAGATTCATCTCCCCGCCAAGGAGGAAAATGTGATTCTGGTGCGGCTCTCCAAGATCCAGCGAGATTTGTACACACAGTTCATGGACCGCTTCCGGGACTGTGGAAGCAGTGGCTGGCTGGGGCTGAACCCCCTCAAGGCATTCTGCGTGTGCTGCAAGGTGTGTTGGGGCCTCAGGGAGGATGGAAGTGGGGACTAAGGATGCACATGGTTCTGAGAGTTCCTCCTGCTGAGAGTCCTGGTTTACGTAAAAGAAGAGGAAAGTGAGAGGGGCCCTCGTGCAGTGAACGAGGATTAGAGGCCAACGAAGAGATGACACAACTCCGGGAGGTGCTACTCGGAGAGTATGGAGCAGCTGGGGCCTCCTGTGCTTGCACAGCTCAGCTCCCCAACTTGTTATACCAAACTCGAGAAGCCACTTTCTTTCCCACAATTCTTTTCCCTTGGAAAAGCAGGGTAGTGGAGGAATATTGTGTGGAGGAGGCTTAGACTGCTAGCATAATCAGGATTGAAGAAGTATGTAGCTTGGACAAGTAAGGTATCAGGCTACCTTCCTTCGATTCTATATTTAATTAGACTGAGGTCTTCCTTGTCCTGTTTGTTTGTTTGTTTGTTTGTTTCATTTTATTTTTACGAGAGAGATTTTTACTATTGAGTGTGTGACTCACTAGAGAGACAGAAAGCGAGAATCACCCTCCCAGGGGGTATCACCCTACCACAATCCCTTCTCCAGGTTCCTTTTGGGATTTTGAGCATGCGTATACACGCGTCCAATGTGAGTTTCAAACCACTGGGTCCAAGATTTGAACCACGGTCAGCCATGTGGGAGTCCAGGTACGTAACCATTATGCCATCTGCTGGTCCCTCTCATCCTGTTTTTGAGGGACCTGTTTCTGTGACTTAGTATCTCAGCTTATGCTCTCAGCAGACCTTAAATAATATTCCCGGGTGACTGCTGCCTTAGTAAGTCAGCTGAAGGTGTCATGGGACAAGAGGGTGTCAAAACACTCCTGAATGAGGACCAGCAGATGGCATAATGGTTATGTTGCTGGACTCCCACGTAGTTGACCGCGATTTGAATCCCAGACCTGGTAGCTTGAAACTCAGGTTTGGGGACCAGCAGTTAGTGTAATGGCTATGTCGCTGGACTCCCATGTAGTCGACCGCGGTTCAAGTCCCAGCCCCAGTGGCTTAAAACTCACACCGGGCACATGTTCATGCGTGTCCAAGATCCCAAGAATGGAGGAGAAGGGATTGCAACGTGGCCATCCCCCCTGGGGGGTGATTTCTTGCTTTCTATCTCTCTGTCTCTGTCTGGCGAGCACATGTGCCCTATAGCAAAAAAAAATAAGTAAATAAAACTCAGGTTGGGCGACTGTGTGCACATGTCACGTGCCTAAGATCCTGATGGGAGAATGGAGGAGAAGGGTGTGTGGTGTGACCATCCTTCCGGAGGGTAATTTCTCACTTTCTGTTTCTCTGTCTCTCTGGCAAGCACACATACCCGACAGCAAAAATCTCTCTAAAAAAAATTACTCTTGAACAACACAGGTTTGACCTGCACAAATCTGCTGATAAATAGATTCTTCTCCTTTCCTTTTTTTTTTGGTTTAAACAACATACATTTATTGGGACCAGCAGTTAGCGTAATAGCTATATCGCTGAACTCCCATGTAGTCGACCACAGTTCTGTCTTTCTGGCCCCCCCCCAAAAAAAAAAAAAAAAAAAAAAAAAAAAAAAAAAAAAAAAAACACTCCAAAAAAAAAAATCCCCGTATAACGTTTGCCTACTCTGGCGTAAAGCAGAGCAGAATAGAGAGCAAGAAGTGTGTGAGTGTCCCCCAGCCACCTTCCCTTCTGGTCTCCATCATGGAACAAGACAACAGACCCTGGAAGACTCAGCTCACAGTCCCACTGCTGGGGCTATGCCCTGACCCCAAGGCAGTGGGACAGATCTCAGGCTCCGCCCCACTCCTGCCAGCCCTCTCGTTTTAAAAAACTGATAAATGTTTTTTTTGTTTGTTTGTTTGTTTGGCTTTTTTTTTTTTTTAAGAGGTTTTTGCTATAGGGCGTGTGCACTCCTCAGAAAGACAGAGGCAGAAAGACAGAAAGCAAGAAATCACCCCCCGGGGGGTGGGGGGGATGGCCACGCTGCAGTCCCTTCTTCTTCCTCCTCTCAGGATCTTGGGCACACACGCACACACCCCCGGCAGTATGTACAAGCAACTGGATCCAGGACTCGAACCACAACCGCGGGAGTCCGGCGACATAGCCATTACGCTAACTGCTGGTCTCTATACATGGTTTTTTTTTGTGTGTTTGTTTGTTTGTTTTTTTGTTTTTGAGAGATTTTCACTGTAGGGCGCGTGCGCTCGCCAGACAGACAGAGAGAGACATAGAGACAGAAAGCGAGAAATCACCCCCCAGGG